TTATTAGCATTATACAAGTTTTTCGAGCACAAAGAGGTGTTCAAGTACCAAAGAGTAAATCCAACAACATTACATGGATTATAGTGCAGATATATTAATTAATTATCACAATTTTGATTATATTAATAGTGATGATACTTGATAAAACTTAGGCCTTATCCATATTTTCTTTTCATGTGTAGTGTCCTCGGCAGCATAATGAAGTAGATTGCGGTTTTTACATGTTGAGGTTTATGAGAGAAACCCTTCTTTTGGATCAAATAGAGATTCCATCTAAGGCATGGATTTCTAACTTAGGAGTTATTTTAATATTTAACACATATTTCTCATATAATTAAATAGTTTTAACTTAAACATACTATGTTATATTATTATGTAGTACTTTGATGAATTCAAGTGTGCTTATTACTCAAGTTCTCAGTTGGATGAACTTAAGGAGGATTGGTGTCAATACATTATTGAGACGAAAGTTATATAAGGTATATTGTAATCTTACTTTAATTGATGAGAATTTTGAGTATATATATTCAAGTGTTGCAATTTTGTTGTTGTTTGTCATGTGGTAAATTATATATATATTTTGTTTGTATCATGGTATGAATTACGATATTTTGGTGTTGTTTCAAGTTATATGTGCATATCTAGAAAATAGAGATGAATAGTTTTTGTAATGGTATATAATGGTGTTGTTTTTTTGTAAAAGTATATACTGGTGCAAAATTTGTAATTTGTAATGGTATATACAGGTATCATAGTATCTTTGGTATGTATTTGTATCATAATATCATAGTAATTTGTAATGGTTTAGGGTAATATATAATTTGTAAGAGTATCATAGTATCTTTTGGTATTATTTTTTATTGGATTAAAGCTCCAATATTAGTGAAAATCTGGTAAAATTTATAATGGTATATACAGGTGCAAAATATGGTGAAAACTTGGCGCAAATTTGTGCACATAAAATTGTATATATCAAACAACGCTTTTTTTTCCAAAAAGATTATATAAAAAATTTCATTGAGATTAGACAACGCTTTAAAAAACATTGTCTAAAGCCCCCATTAGACAACGCTTTTACTGTAAAAGTGCTTCCTAAAGGGGATCTTTTTTTTTTATAATTTTTTTTTGTTTCAGAAAAAGCGCTGGCTAAAGGGGGTCTTTAGCAGCGCTTTATAAAAAAGCGCTGCCTAAAGGGGGCTTTAGACAACGCTTTAACATTAAAAGTGCTGCCTAAAAGGAGTTTTTTTTAATTTTTTTTGTTGTTTCAGAAAAAGTGCTGGCTAAAGGGGGCCTTTAGCAGCGCTTTTACCTTTAAAGCGCTGGCTAATGGGGCCTTTAGCAGCGCTTTAAAAGTAAAAGCGCTGCTAAAGGACCCCTTTAGCAGCACTTTAAAGGTAAAAGCGCTGATAAAGGCCCCCTTTAGCCAGCGCTTTTACTTTTAACAAAGCGCTGTCTTTTCCTACAGCAGCGCTGGAATAGACAGCGCTGTCTAAAGCCAAAAAAAGCGCTGTCTAAAGTCTTGTTTGGCGTAGGGTGTTAATTAAAACAACATTTATATTAAAATTAAAATCTTTTTAGCTTCTTTATAAAAAACACTAATCACTCATTCGCCCCTGTGCCCTAATATTTGTTTCCATTCACCTTCACCCTCAAGTTTAAACATGCGTTTGCAAATTGAAACATGATCCAACAAAGATGATGAATGATAATGTAAAGTATTGTGTGAGGTATGTTTTTCTGTCTCATTTGCTATTACCAATGGTCCCTTTTTGTGTTTGGTGCGTTTATTTGTTTATGGTCCCGACTAATGAGTATTGTTTATACATTGACGTGGTCCCGTTTGTTTGTTTGTGTTAATTTGAATTTGTTTTTTTCCGAATATTTATCAAGCCTGCTAAGACTACTAAAGTTAGGTTAAGGATACACCATAGGGAAAAACTTGTTCAAGGACCTGTTAAGTGGCATGTCAATGGATAAGATATTGAGATGGACTGGGCTTGAGATGCAGACTACATATCATACATGGAAATTGAAGGTATGATTAAGAGTGAGGGTTATGAAAATATTAAGTGCATGTGGTATTGGAACCCTGCATATAGTTTTTCCCGTGGTCTTACACCATTGAACAATGATTCTGATGTTATGCAATTTTCAAAAGATATGGTAGGATATGATGTAGTTGACATATATGTGGAGCATCAAGTGGAAATTCCTGAAATTATTGATGAGAGTGAATTAGATTTTACCATTGAGGATGATGATGATGTGCATTTCACTTATTTCAAAAATGCAAATAGTGATGATGCTAACATTGAGGCTGGAGTAGGTATTGATATTGAAGAAGATAACATTGATGATGCTAACACTGCTAAGAATGTTGAGGCTGGATTAGGTAATGATGTTGAAGAAGATAACATTGATGATGCTAACACTGCTAAGAATATTGAGGCTGGATTCAGTAATGATGTTGAAGAAGATAACATTGACGAGGATTATGTTGCAAATGAGAGTAGTTTTGAGGATAATGAGTTCTAATTTAGTGAAGAATATGATGTGAGTGAGATGAACTGGACTAAGGTTCTTCCCCAAGAGACATTAGTTGAAGTTTCTAGCTCCCGAAACCAGAAAGTTCAGGATGAGATGGTACATGAGGAAAGTGAGGACTTAAACCATTTATACACACTCCCTGGGAGTGATGATGAGGATGAGGAGAGGATGAAGTATCCTACCTATAAATCAGGTGAGAGGATGAAATTTCAAATATGGTTGGTGTTTATTAACAAAGAAGTGATTAAGGATGCAACCAAGGACTATGGTATGGAAAATCAAAAGAATGTATAGATTCACAAAAATGATTCCAAAAGGATTGTGGTGAAATGCACTGATGGATGTAAGTTCTACATGAGGTTCAGTAAGAGAATTTGCCACCAGTTCTGGCAAGTAGTGAGTTTGATTGATGAACATATATGCCATAGGAATGCTGACAATAGGAGTTTAAAGACAAAGTGGATTGCCAAAAGGTTTGCCACAACTCTTAGACATAGTCCCTAGATGAAACCTGCAGGCCTTATAACTGAAGCTATTGAGAGATGGGGAGTTAAGCTATCTCATGACCAGAAATATAGGGCCAAGAGGAAAGTAATGCAGTTGGTTCAAGGTACTGGTGTTGAGCAATTCTCTCATTTGAGATCTTATGGGCAAGATGTATTGAAATCCAATCCCAATAGTATTGTTGTAATACAATGTGCTGATAATAATGGGCTGCATGTGTTTTAAAGGATTTATAATTGTTTAGAGGCTTGCAAGGCAGCTTTTGCACATACACGTAGGCCACTAATTGGTTTAGATGCATGCTTACTAAAAGGAGATTATGGTGGACAATTAATGGTAGCAATAGAGAGGGAGGGTAATAACCAGATTTTTCCAATAGCATATGCTGTAGTAGAAGCGGAAACAAAGGACTCATGGCAGTGGTCTTTAGACGTTATTCTCCATGATTCAAGACTACACAAGGGCTATATGTTCTAAAATCTAGCTGGTAATTGAGAAGCATAAGAAGGAAGCAAAAATGTGGAGTCCTACATGGCATGGTGATTATGACCTATCCGTATTTGGTGTGACAAATGGCAATGACACTTACTATGTTGATCTTAAGAAGAAAACTTTCTCAGGTAGAGTGTGGGAATTGACTAGCATACCTTGCAGCCATGTAATTGAATGCATTTGGAACACCAAGAAATGCCTGAGGATTATGTTGCTGCATGTTATAAGTTTGACTGTTAACTGCATTTTATAGTGTGTTATATGCATTTTATGGTGTGTTAACTGTTGACTGTTATTGTGTGTAACAAGAAATCAACTTTTATGGAGAATTACTCCTACATTGTGTATCCAACAAATGGACCACAATTGTGGCCTGTGGATGACCAGAATAAAGTGAAACCACCAGTTATGAGAAGAGAATTAGGAAGGCAAAAAAACAGAGGAGAAAAATAAATGATGAACCTAGGAATCCACACATACTGTTAAGTAGGTTTTCCACTATCACTTGTGCAAAATGTGGTGCTATGGGGCATAACAAAAGGAGCTGTAAAGGTAAAAGGGCTGCGGATAGGGAAATTCTAAAGGGTGGGAATAAAGCTAAGAAGGTGGCTAAGTCTAAGAAAGTGACCTAGGAGAAATAAGTATAAATTGGTCAAAGTTCACAAGCTCCTCAGCCCACTCAAGAGTAGTGTACTTTAGGTCTAAGTAGTTTTGACTCAAGCTGTGTTTTGAGTGTTATTTTGGGTGTACTAAGTATATTTTGACTCAAGTTGCGCCTTAAGTGTTATTTTGGTTGTACTAGGTATATGAAAACAAGCGTATGAAAATAAATCTTATTTTAGTTGTACTCTATTAATGAGTTATGATATTATGGTATGAAAACTGGTGTTATATTGGCTAAGATATTTTGTGAGATATACTTGTCGCATTACAGGTCCAAAAAATTCCTGCATTAAACTGGTTGTACTCTATTAATGTGTTATGATATTATGGTATGAAAATTGGTGTTATATTGGCTACACTATTCTGTTATGATATTTATTATGGTATACAAGGTACATTGCTGACAAAATGGAGTCAAGTTACAAATACACAAATTGTGTCAAATAGGAGTCAAATTATAAGGCACATTACTGTCAAAATAGAGGTCAAATTACAGGTCCATAAATTGTGTCAATTTGGAGTCAAATTGAGAACAAATTATAAGGCACAATGCTGTGAAATAAAAAGAAAATTGCATTACATTGAGATCAACTGCTAATTTGATGAACCATTACATTAACTTTGAACCATTACACCATGACAACATAAAACTAAAACACCATTACACAACATAAAACCTAATGAATTATACCCTATTTCATCAATGTTGTTCTAACAAATGCAAACAATATGACAAAAAACAAAATCCAATTAATCTTCAACTGCTTCTTCATGATCTTAACCTTTAACTTCAATTATTCCTCTTTTTCTTTGTAGGTGTTTACCATCTTCTTCTCCTCATTCAAGTTGTTTAGTAGTGGAAATATTAACTCTTTTTCCCTAGGATTTATCTCCTCATCCAACCAAGCACAATGTGTGCATTTTTTTAATCCTTGTATCTGTTGAAACCAACGAAGATAAAGATGAATGAATACCCAGACCAGTTACAGGGAAATAATAACATAATGATTCATACCTTATACACGCCACATCCATAAAAACAACGACCTGGGTTCACATCCTCCCATGTCGTCATCAACAGAGCATCGATACCACACTTGCAGACATACCACAAACGACTTAAAGATCTACTGCCATGTCTGAAGTCAGAATGATGCAGCATTTGAGGATGTCTGATTCATGAGGAAGAAAATGAATAGTGGCTTCAATTGTGAGGAAGACGCTGAACAAGATTCTTCGTTTCTCTTTAATAGTTATATTAATTTTAATTCAATTAAAATAATATTATTTTCAATTAAGATAATGTTGTTTTCAATTAATAACATGATTTTAGTTAAACTATTGGATTAATTCATAAAATATACAGTAATGGTGTGATACGGTGGGAGAGCTGACTTGGGTGTTTTGTGTTTTATCGCAAATGTTGCGGTTACCAAAAGTCGCCACCGACTTTTCTTTTATCCAAAAGGAAAGGCTAAAAAGAATAGGAAAGATCTTTGAGATTATTTCTTGAGTTCGGGTGGTAGATTATGAAAAGGGAAGGTATTAGCACCCTTTTCATCCATAGTTATCTATGGGCTCTTAGTTGCTTGCTAGATCACTTGCTTTTGTTTGAAAATGTGCTTTGTGTGGTTTTTGAAAGTATTTTGAAAAGGTGCCATCGTTTAGGCAAACTTTGTAATATTTCTCGTTCGTAAGAACGTATACAAAGTGTTGATCTTTTGAAAATGTTTCATGTTTGGAAAATGTTTTGAAAGTGTTTTGAAAGTGTTGGTGTTTGTTTTGAAAATAAGCAAGTAATGTTTGATTTGAAATTGAGCAAGCAACTAGGAATAATCTACCTACTCAAAAGTATTTGTTCATTTCTTCCTTCCTTTGATATTGCTATCTTATCATTGATTGGTAAGAAGCCTTATCTTTGGATGTAAAGGGACGGGCGTGGGTCATCGTATAGCCATGATAGCAATGTTATGAAATATCTTAGCAATTCTCTTTGAGAGACTAAGATCATTTTGAAAGGAAACATTTGATAGCGTAATTGAGGGACTATGATCTTGTATTTTGATTGCTTTTTGCTAAGATATCCCACATGCATAACATGGCCATTTTTGTAAGGCAACAAAGTGGAATTACCCTAAGGGTGCAAGTATGCAAGTGTGTTGATTTACATACTTGTTTATCTTGAATTAGGGTTTGCTAACTTGTTGATTTTAGTCTTGCCATACAAACCCTAAATTATTAGCATTTATATAAAGCGATAAATTGCGTAAAGTAAAAATACTAAGCTATTACGTCATTAGGGGAGGGGGGTATACAAATTTACAAATGGGGATTTTGCATGAAAATTAAATCTAATTAACTATTACAACCATATTGAATATTATACAAAATTGAAAAAGGAAATAATGCAAAAATGCAAATGGAAAAAGAAATGATTTTTGTTTGGATTTTTATGAAAGGATTTTGTCTTGACCTAATTAAAGAAAAATGATTAATTAAAAATTAACAAAATTAAACTTAAACTATTTAACAAAGAAATTAAGTTAATGAATATTTTTAGGGTTTTTCATGAAAAAGGTTTTAAATTAATAATAATAATAATAATAATAATGAAAATTAATCAATTAAAATAAACCTATGTTCTAAATTAATTTTAATTTACAAGAGAATAATATAATAATAAAACCTAATTATCTAAATATTGATTATTAAAAAAGGAAATTAAATTTATTAAGAAGAATGTTTTTTTTTTTTTGGTCTTTTTGTTTTCTAAAGAAAAAAAATAAGGTGTGAAAATAATAATAATAATATTTTTGGATTTTTTATTAATAAAAATAATAATAATAATAATGTTATAAATAATAAAACTGAAAATAAAAAAAATCAAATAAGAAAATGAAAATAAAAAAAATGAAAATATAAAAGGATTAGGCCAAGAGTGTATAAGCAAACAGGGGGTTAGAATCTGGCAAAAAAAGACAAAAGCCTAATGGTTTGGGGCCCAGGCGCCTGTTTCAAACAAAAAAGGAAGAAAAATATGAAAAATGCACAAAATGGTACCAGTGGGGATTGAACCCTGGTCCCAAAGGTTAACAGGCGCGCGCTTTACCACTGGGTGGCTATACATTCGTTGATATAAACAAAACAATAAATTTGTAACATAAATCAAGTCCTGAATGAACTTCATCTTCAACCTCCAGCCAAAGAACCTGTAACTCATTCATTTCTCATCCATTCACAAAAATTTCAACATCACACTTGTTAGAAATTTCTTCACGATTCTGAATATGTAAATACCTTAACTAATTCTCAAAGATGACATGAATTTCTAACAGTACCAAATTCTGACCTAAATATCTTCAGAGGTTCAAACTCAAAATTCTCCCTACTCAAGCAACATAAATGAAATCTATGGACATGTATAGTTTCAGAGCAATGATGTCTACATTTTATCTTCACAAATGCAAACCTAACAATGCCTAAATGAGAAGATAGAAGTTCAAGAAAAATACCTCAAAACTGGAAACTGTGAAATGAGTTTGAGCTTAATTCAAGGTGCTGCAATGATCAGGTTAGTTTCCTTGAGTCTTTAGGAAGCTAATGCAATGCTTAGCTTGAGTTGAGAGTGGCTGAAATGGTCTGGAGAAGTCAATGTGCAGTGCTCTATTTTTGGTTATGGAGGATTATAGAAATTAAGTTACAGTCGTGTAACAGGGATAATGATGGTTTGTATTTGATGCAAGGAAGTTTAGGAACTAAAAGGCCAAAGAACGCACGAGGGAAATGGAAGTTTGAAGTTCAAAGTCAGAAACTGTGCAACAATGGAGTTTTTGGGCACTTTTTGATTTGAGGGAGTTTGCGACTGTTTCAGGGTGCTCAATCTCGTGTGTTTGCTTGCAAATAACTTGTATAGTTATAAGCAAGAGGTCTTAGGGTTTGAAGTTGACAGATCTGTGAGATATAAAGTTATGGCTATGTTACTTGATTTTAAAGAAAAGTAGGAAAACAAGTTTCAATGTGTTGTACAAGCATGGTATGAGTTGATAGGAGGTTCAAGCCATGTTGCTTTTGGTTTTTGACTTTGCTTGTGTTCAGATGAAACAAGTTAGGAGCTATGTGCATTGACTTTGTGATTATAGTTACTTTTCCAAAATGGAAGTGTGAACTTTGTTCCATTAATGGAATAATCACTTGGACAATGACTCAAGCACTTGAATCCTAGCTCAAATAGTTGTATAATCTTCTGATTACAGATAGATTTAGAGGTTAGAAGCCTTCAAATTAAGATTTATGCAGCATGGGTGTGGATTGGATCAAATGTTCATCATGAAAATGACTTGAAAAACAAGTTTGAAACCCTAACTTCTTGCCTTCGATTCTCTTAGCTCAAGCATGATCTCAATGAGTTCTTGTATATTTTGGAAAGCTTGTAACGTCCTCTACAACCTCTATGTTAGAAATGTTTTAAAATTACTCTTGTAACTATATGAAAAATTGCCATGAAGTTAGGTCAAAATCCTGCCTAAAATAAGGCAAAATTTCACTAAGTTTCCAAGTTTCACGAACATGTATTCACAAAATCATAACTTGAAATCCATGCATTTCTAGAAGAAGTTGTGTTCTAAAATGTTTTAGATATAATTGAGATCTACAACTTTCATGTTGGAAATTTCCTTTGAATCATCTTGCATCATGGTGAAAAATTAGCTCAAAGTTATGAAAAAATATGAAATTTTCAACACTTAGAAAAATTTCTAAGTTTAGAAATTTTGACTTTTCAAAATGAAATCTTGACTTTTTGATTTCTTGATGAAATTTTTTCATATTTTGACATGTTTTGATGAATTGTAATCTTTGACACTTGATTTTGACTAAAAAGTCAAAGTTTGACTTTTTAGTGTATAGTTGACTTTTGATCAGTTGATTGAAAATTCATCTGTCAATCAATCAATCAATCTTGAGAGATGTTTTGAGCTACGCCATTAGGTCAAAATGATGCATTTTAACCCTTGAGATCATAACTTAAACCCATCAAGCATTTGCTAGGTCAAAAATCAGAAATTGCACCTTCTTAGCCAAAACCCTAATTTTGACCATTTTGCCCTTTTGATGATCAGATCAAATTTCTTGAGGAATTGTGATCCAAACTTGATAAAATGACATATGTGAGTTCATAATGTTGATATGGATAAAAAATTATGAAGTTTGACTGTAAATTAACCACAATTGACTTTTTCCCTAATATAGTTGATTTTAGGTCAACTGATCAATTAACTGAGCAAAAATGTGATCCAAGACTTGAAACTTGACATGAGAAATATTGAGAGTCCAAAATGATCCATGAAAGTCATATGAGGCATTGAAAATTCAATTGTCCTTGTGCAATCTCAAACCCTAATTTCTAGTCATCAGTGCTAGAGGAGGTGTCTTGAGCTGATCAACCCTTGTGTAGTCTTGAACCAAAGGAGATATTGTGTGAGATTATTTGAGAAATGAGAGGGCATATTTTGGGTTACAACAGCTTCCCCTGTTCATTCTTCTTAAACCTGAAGAGTTAGATTGGCGGATCCGCCATTCGTGACTTAAAGGTGGAAGATCATGGAACACTAGAGTGCCTAGAAATTTGCACTCGAAGATGTATTGTGAATGGGCTTATAGATGCCATTTGGAGGAATGTTGGTAAAAACTGGAAGAAGTATCAACATAAATCTTTGGTTGATTCATACTAAAACTTGATGTTTCACCTGTGGGACAAAAGGTTAGTAAAATGCAGATGTATACATGATGTTCACAAGATGAATGAGATTATGCTAAATGCATTTTGTATGTATACTTCATGATGTATGAATGTGAGATGCATGTTTTTGTCCGAGAAAATAAATCCATGACTGCTGTTGAGGAGTTCCTGGGAAGTTGAATCCCGGATCACTGTTGGGGGTGAAGAGTATACATATCTTCAAACTTTGTTGAAAGGATGCTTTAGCTAAGGAATATCTCTTGAATGTCAGTTGTTATCTGGTCGGGTCCAGGCTTCACAACTTGCTGAGAATGAGGAAGTCAACTGCTATCTGGTCGGATTCCAGGCTTCACGGTAACTTACTGGGGAAGAGATAAATTAACTGTTATCTGGTCAGATTCCAGACTTTGCAGAAAATTTCTTGA